AAAAAATTTTAAATTGACAGTGCGAAGGAGAGAGATCGAGCGTGCAAACCACGGGTATCGTTTAATGATGAAGACAATGGCAGTTGTGCTTCGAAGAGCCAGACAGGCAGGCAGCGAGCGTAAAAAAGCCGATAATGCCGTAAGATGGCGAGAAAGAGTGAGGGAAAAGGTGGAGTGGCTATATACAAAGCAAAATATGCTTGCCGTCAAAACAAAAGTAATCTTTCGCAAGCAAGAGGCTAAAAAAGTATCGCAAAATCGAATCATTACAGTCAATATATCTCAACGATATCGCTGTATACACACGACTCGCGTATACATCGGCAACTTATATACGTGCGTATATTATGTGCCAGACGCTTGTCAAACACGTCAAAGCTTTTTCTGGAGCTTTAAAGCTCGAGTCTGTTGCTGCTGCTACTACGCGCGCTTCAGCTGTCTTTAACGAGTCTCGCTTATACATCGCGGCTGCTGTTGCCTCCATTAAAATGATGAAATAATGTTTGCGATGGTAAGTGCCTCGCGGCTGATACATAATATATACATGTATATAATGTACCCCGAGCGGGACCCGCACGCACCGGGTGAATCAAATCCTTGGCTCTTTCTTCGCGCTTACAAGCGCGGGCGCGTGTCTTCGAAGCTTTTAAAGAAACTCGATGTAATGTAAATCGGGACCTCTTGGGGGATAGCGAAATTGCCACTCTCTGTTGCAGCCTGAAATAAGCTACTGTTGCATCGCGTATACGTGCATACAGTCGTTCTATCTGTTTATACAATTATTATCAGGGTGCAGCCAAATATGGTTTTTTTTTTATTTCTCGAAACACGACACGGGATACTTGGGAGTGAAACATTTTTTTCTTCCTTTCGTCGACTGCATCTATAACCTAATTCACAATGGTCCACTTGAAAAACCAAACCCCAAGAGCAAACTTACATCCGAGCAATAATAGCGTTGGCTCGGCTTTATCGGCGTGCCACACACTCGTACTCGAACGTCCGCATACATGTACACGCTATACACGTGTGTTTGCGGCTTTGCAAGCTCTAGTAGAGTATACATAGTACCTATACACCTATACCCTTTCGATCTGTACAGTGCGCAGCTTTGGTGCTGTACAGAAAAGCTCGTTGGCCAGCCAAGAGTCTCTCGCACGAGCTTGTTTGCTCTATTATCGTACAGTATACACTGAGACGCGCATACAGACGCCACCCTGTGAACTTGTTTGACTTTCCAGCGCGGTGCTATTTCTCTCGCGCTCGATTCTATGCGTATATCTGCATCGATGATCGGAAGATGAAATAATAATGTGTTTTCTGTAAGTGCTCACGGCTCGTCGGATCATCGAAGTTCTCCAAAATCGTGCATGCTCGTGCTCGTTCGAATATTACACTCTGCAAATTAATAAATCGTACAAAGCTTCGCACGGCCAGCGGATAAACAATTATTGCGCGATAAATTTCTCGTACGGATGTACACACGATCGAAGCGTAAAGCTGCGCGATTTTACACTCTGCGCGTCGAGAGCTTTAAGTTCAACGCGTGTGTGAAGGGAGAAGGAGGAGGAGGAGGCGTCGGCGAGAGTGAAATTTATATACAATATAGCCGACTTTAGCGCGTACAACCTCAGCCATTGTGGCTCTTTCTCTATATATACGGTCGACTTTGCGCTTGCAACGTCTTAATAATACAAGCCCGAGCTACTCGTTCCTTCGCGCGCGCGCGCCAACTGTATCTTATATACGTATATTGCATACATATAAACGCTACTGTATACGCTGCATTGCTCTCGCCAAGTTCATTACTCATTCTCGTTCGTAGCTCGAGAGAAAGAGAAAGAGAGAGAAAGGATATAGAACGGCTAAGGTGAACGAAGAGAAAACACAGCGCACAGTAGTACAAAACAGTTTCACCTAGTGGATAGAACGAACCTCGTGCGGATAGGCTCGTGTGGGTGTCTGTGTGCGCATTACCTTTCGGTCTCTCATCGTCTCTGGAAATTTGTGTACGCCCACGTGCTCATGTACGCCGTTAGATGTCAAACAACCCACAAGTGCTATAAAAATTTAGAAAGTGTATGAATTGGCCAGTATGTGATCATTCTGTGAAAGACATCCTGAGTATTGTTGGCACGAAGAAATCATTTGAAAAATTAGATTATATGGGTAGATAGTATGGCCATTTTTCCAACCCCCCGTTGAGTTGAGTTATACAATTATTTTTACTTTACCACTTGCAGATTTACCCAAAAAAGTACTCGCCATCTAGTGGCAAAGACTTGAAGTGGTATTAAATGCTGATTCAAATGTGCCGAAACATTCACATTGTCACTTTCCAGTCATTTAAACTGCGTTTAATATTGGTAAGGTAATTGAAACAGAGAATTAGTTATAAACAAACGTTTTGAATGATCGGTTATTGTTTATTAGTCCATTATAAACATTGAGCATTTCTACGCAACGCATAAGTACACGAAAAAAATAACGTGCATGCATGAGGCCATGCGACTTTGACTGTCAGTATTTTATAAAAAATGAAAATAAAATGATCTTCTCAAGAGCCTCGATAAAAACTGGAGTCGTTTTCGTGAACAAGCGTTCACCCGAACTATCTGTACATTCTCATTCGCATTCGCAATAGAACGACTCGAAACTATAAAAAATGGTTTGTATTACGTTGCATCCCAAAATTTCAAAAGCCTTACGTATACAGTTACCAATTAATTAACTTAGTCCCAACGCTCGGAGTAAATAATTTAATTAGACTCGAAAGACACGAGTATTTCATTTAAGTGGGCGATTGTGCAGCACCGACAGAGAGTGAAAGAGAGAGAGAGAGAGAAGGAGGATGGTAGAGACGCCACAGCCGCTGCTCCTCTGTGTTTAGTTTGGTGTCGCGATGTTGCTGCTGCTGCTCACAAGCACTAAAGGGAAGTTTGTGCGCGCCTCCTTATGTCTTTCTCTCCTAGTCAGTCGCGTATATATACGTATACACACACAGATACACACACACACACACATACAAGTTCTCCCTGCGGTATTGCTATTCGCAAGACCACAAGTTTCTCGTGTCGCGCGCTTAAGCCAAGAGGGACCACTAATGCTAAAGTCCTCCTCCCCCCGCCGCCTCGTCCCTCCCTCGCCACTAGGCTACACGCTTCTCTGCGGGAGGACTTCGATCTCATGGCTTTATATATATATAGCGTGTACACACATATACACACACACACACACACACACAAGGTCGTCGTTGTCGGTGCTTACGAGCTTCACGCTTGCACTTCGGGATCACTCTAATTGTCATTAAGAGCAAAGTCTCCGCACCGCATCTCTCTCTCTCGCTCTATATCTGCTATGTTTCCATAAACTTCTTGTGACTATTTGTGGTGTATAGCTCTGCTGCGATGGTGGATGAAGGAGCCTTGCTGGGATGTTTCCTTATATATAAATATATTTATTCAGCATATATAGCTCGATCGAAGCAGAAGGATGGAGGATGTCGAATCAAGTAGATGCACGCGCAGTCGCTATCGTTTCATTATGCATGCGTTATGTTAAACACCTCGATCTTCTCTTGTATTTTATTTTATTTTTTCCTTTTTTCGAGGACAAATAATTTTCTAATCTATATACCGTGTGCCACGGACGAAATGCGCCGAATTTATTCCGCTGTGTATTCTCTCCTATCGGGGAGCAGCGCGATCATATACATTTTTTTGACCGGAATCCAATCTTGCCGCCCCCCCCCCCCCCCACCGGCATAATGATATACGAAATCGTCCTTTTGAAATCAATACATAAACACGAGCTTGCGTCGCATAATGCTCGGTAACAAGAGCAGAAAAGCAGACGCGAATCTGATAATGCATCGGGCGATACACATACACACGAAAAGCACACACAGCGACCGGCATCGAGCGAAAAAAAGAATCGCCAAAAGTCCGATAAAGCTCCGCGGTGTATGCGAACTTGCGGTACACACACAGAGTACAAAACCGATGTACGAAAAAAAGAAGGGCCGAGTTTTGGTAGTTCTCCAAATGTCTCGGGCGCGCAGGGAGGACCAATTCAATTTTGTCGCGCGTCGTGCACACGTATTTACAAGAGAGAGGGAGAGCGAGAGTAGACGCCATACGGCAGCGCGACATTTTTCACTCTATATACGCCGGGCTGCACTGCACTGCACTGCTACCACGCCGTGTATAAATCGATTAAATCTACTTGCTTAAATATAAAGCTCTCTCTCTCTCTTTTTCATGTAGAGAGCTAGAGAAGGTCATTGGAATTCACGAATATTGCGAGCGCAGTCTCCATACATTTATAGATGGCTGCTACTACAAGAGCGCAGGGGTGCGAGGTGTACTAGCGGTGCGGGTACGCGCGTTTTACGAGGTAAGCGCGAGCTTAAAATGCGAAAAGCAATTCAAATGTACCTCATCTCCCTCTCACTCTCTGTTCTCTCTCTCTCTCTCTCGGCAGTTACTGAAGAGGGTCGACGCGAGCACTGTACTCGTGTACGTGCGCGCGCGCGCGCGTGTGTGTGTGTGTGTGCGAGAGGAAAATCTCTCGCGTCGCTTTGAAAGTCTACACGGCGCGTCATCAAGCCCTTTTCCACGCTTCGTTTCGTTGCGGTGCGCGCGCGCGCGTTCGTTTTAACGAATGCGCGAGATTCATTGAAGGATCTCATTAAAAATCAAGTGTCATGGAGAGAGCGAGCGCGATATATATAGCGTAAAGAGTAGCGAGGCACGGACAGAGATAACATCGACGCGTACGTGGCTGGTTTTTTTTCCCATATCTCTCTCGCTCGAAACACGTTGAAGTTTTCCTGCAATTAGCGCGCGACGTCGAAAACTAAGTCTCGAACGCCGTTACCGTACGTACGTACGCATATAATTTGACATGGATATAACGCGAATGTATATGTACGTATACGTAAATCTGGAAAAAAAAGAGGCCAGAGATATGAAAATTTTTGTATAAAAGAAAACACTCACTTTGTACGATCCTAAATTTTTCACTGTACAGGCGAGCTTCACGTCCCTGCCAGCCGGCATTGTGATGTTGCCGATCTCTTTCACGAATTCCGGCTCCAGAATCGTCGGCGCTGCAAAAGACAAAAAGACACGGGTATGGTTAGAAAAACGAATTCATTTCGCAGTTTCTGAGGCATTGATGAAAATTTTTCGTAAAAAAAATAGTAAATAAATAAACAAAAGCTACATCATCAAATTTTGTATCTCATGTGGCTGTCTACTATCAAGGATAAAACATTCTCTAATACATATTTATAAAAATATACACTCGACGCGTAGGATTTTTTGTCGCTCGAGTTCCAGTGCATGAAACTAGACACACACACACACACACACACGCACACGAGGCACATTATACGTTCTCGCGTACGTATCCAGTATACATATCCAGAAAGGACAAAGAAAAGTCTCTCGCGGATGATGACAAAGCTAAGAAAGCAGCGGCAAAAAAAGGCGCAGTGTCGGATATTCGATGCAACTGGTGTAGCGTATACTACACACACACAATGTCACGCGTGGCGCACGCAAAGCTCTACACCCTCGACGAGAGCTTATACAGAGAGAAAGCAGTAGTGGAAGTGGCAGTGGTAGTCGACAGTCGTCTTAGAAAGTCACTTTAAATCCTTTCTTATACGGTAGAAGGGATGAGACACTTTCACGGGGGGGGTTCTTCTTCTTTTTTTTTTTTTTCTATTCGCTCCGAGGCGAATCGAAGCGACTACTACTTCACTTGGTATGAGAGAGGCGTGAGAGAGAGAGAGAGAGAGAGAGGAAAAGAGAGGCAGAAAGACTACTAAGGAATTCTCTTTGGGACACTGCCATTGACTCGAACTATATTTATACATGGCTTATGTTATCCTCGAGTATATGTATGCGGCGCGTCTCTTCGCTTTCGAGTTTTTATTTCTACGTATACTCTTATACATATTATATTCGCACACACATGCATTCATAATACTTAAAGCAGGAGAGAGAGAAAAAAATCTGAAAAAGAAAAAAAAATCGGGTCGCATCCGATTAATTAATTATAAGATTCGTTATCATAACGAAGGCGGCAGCCGTGATAATGGCCACACACAGCGTAATAATAACAAATATTATTTAAGATATCGTCGCGTCGCTCTCGCGATCTCGAGGCTTCTAATTATCGATATACCCATATTCAGCGCGGGCTTCTCACGATACATACCATCCGTCAAAGCTCGCGACGAAATATCTTCATTAAAGTTCGCGTGTACGCGCGCGTGTGGGGGCAAAGATATACACGCCGCGTTAAATTTTAATTACATTTCTCGCGGCGTCGATTCAAAGACACGCGTGTTACGTATGTAGTACGACGATCCGGAACGAGTACGTACATCGTGCGCTTCGGTGATTATATACGTCCCGCCGATGTCGACGACGACGACAACGACGACGACGACGACGTAATTATTAAAGCCCAGCGCCAAAACCATCTCTTGCTCGCAGCGATCCCGTCCCGAGCGCGAGTGGGTGCGGGCGAGCTTTCACGATATTATACAGGGAAAGACTCGAGACGTCGTCGTTTTCTTTTTAGCGAGCTCTACTTTCCAAGAAATCGTGTGCATTATATCGAGTCTTTGATTATATCCAGAAATTTTTTTTTTCCAACTATCATCTCCGGATGATTGCTAAGCGCAGTGACGGATCTCTGATACGTTGACCTTAATGAAGCTAGCTTTTAATAGGCCGCGGGAGCTTTCATCCGAGATTTATATATACTTCGCTGAGTGATGTGTGTCAATAACGAAATTTCATTCGCGTTGCGCGCGCCTTTGAAGAAAATCGTCGCAAACGAGCTTTTCTTGAATAAAGTAGGCTTCTCCCCTCGACCGCATTAAAGCGTCATAATTCTATACTCGAAGAGCGGCGCGCATTATTTGTCTATAAATAATAAATCTCATCCCCCGGAGAGAGAGAGAGAGAGAGAGAGAGAGAGAGAGAGAGAGAGACCGAGAGAAAGAGAGGCAGCTGCTGCACTCCTCTGCGCTTTTGCTCTTCTTCGAGCTTCAGAGAGAATAAGAGGACTCCGAGAGCGCGCGAGCGGAGAGGAAAAAAATTGCCAGCATCAGCAATTTTCCAAGGAACTGAGAGAGAGAGAGAGAGAGAGAGAGAGAGAGAGAGAGAGAAGAAAAAAAAAATAGATAGCCATAAGCTCGTACAAGTTGATTTTCTTTTTCTTTTTCTTCCACTTCTTACCAATCATCGCGTTGTGTACGCAAGATTTATTTTTACAACTTTGCGATAACGAGAAAACAAGTTTTTTCGAGACAAAAGTCTGCAAGATCGTCTGCATCTGAGCAATTTTATACCGCATCGAACGATTTAATATTTCCAAGGTCTCGATAAGAGCGATCGTTAATTCTCGAAATTTATCGACGAGCGACGAATTAGTGCCCCGATCGCTATCTATATGATTAGTCGAACTTGGGAAAAGCTCGCGATTATTCGCGAGTAAAAGCTTTATACGATTCGATATATCCTCGAACGATTAGGAATCTCGAGACGATTGCTTGGCGCACTGGGGTAAAACGAGGAAGTAGAAAAAATAATAATTTTCCCATCGCGAGCTCGGTATTCGATTATTTTGACCATTACACTCGCGTGCGCGGGAAATTTCCCTTGGGTGAGGACGAGAAGGCACACACACACACACTGCCTCTCCCAAGCTCGCGTGTAAATATACCCATTACAAAGCCAAAAAAAATAATAATAATAAAATAAAGCTTCGAAAGAAAACAGCTCGTTCGAAGGAATATAAGGAAAATCAGCGGAGCGAGATTTTTTCTTTTTTTTTTTTTTTCATTAAATCGCGATTGCCATCGTCATAGTCTAAGCGAAAGATCTTCTAGCAAGATGGACCGTTTCATCAGGAATGCATGGGCTTTTTTCCCCCCGTATTATTTCCTTCGACTTTTTTTTTCTTTTTTTTGCTGCTGCTACTGCTGCTGCTTGCAATCGAGAAAAATCCGTGCCAATGCACTCACATCTCCCCCACGATAAGGCCTCCAATATAATACTTTATCTCGATTCAAGAACGCCAAGGAGGGCGGGTCGGTGTACGTATATATACACACACCGAGTTGCGAGATTTCTCAGGCTGCGCCACCGCCGCCGACGTCGTTGTTGCCCGTGCGGTGCTAGTATATATAGTTACTGCGGCCTCGAGTAAAGGAGATCTAGAAAAATGTCCTTGTGTATGTTATTTCGCGAAAGGAGGTGGAGACCGCCAACGCCACCACGACGAAAAGCAATCGAGCTGAATTTACTTTTCTTACCCCCCGAAAATCCGATAAACGAAGATGGACAAGCGGCGCGGACGCGAGGATAATACATATATAGAGAAAAAAAAAAAAGAAGAAGTGACAGAAAAAGCAGGAAAAGGGTCAACGTACCGTATCGTGTACGAGAGCTGTACGCTTCCTCGCTTTCTCTCATAATTCATAAATCGAGCGTAGTGTAAAAAGATTATCAGAGTTTTAAGCCTTGTCATCGCGCGCTCATCGCGTGATTTATTTCACGTGCTCGAAGCCATAATGAAAAAAAAAAAAGGAAAAAAAAAAGAAGAAAACAAAAGCGAATAGCCGATAAGCCGTGAGCGCGCGCGTGGTGTGACATTAGGTCTTTTTGCGGTGTACTGCACACCGCCGCGCCAGCGCCCACCAAAGCCCGACACTACGACGACGACGACAAGATGAGATTAAGCCAAAGTTCGCCGGCCTCCATCATCTCGCTCTTTGCTCCCTTATTCTTCGCCTTCATCTTCACCTTGGGCTTGAAACAGCTCTTCGAGTGACTCTTGTCGCGCGCGAGTGCAAGCCCGTAGTTCTTCTCTTTCTCTCTCTCTCTCTCGCTCTCTCGACGAGACGAGAGTGAGAGAGAGGAGCTTGTGCGAGCAAGAGTATATATACGAATGTAATTCTAGTACTTGTGCACAAGCCAAGCCAAACACTTGCCATTGTTAGCGCTTAACTCACTTAGCTGCGAGCGGCACCCCCGCCCCCCTTCGTACTCTGCGTTACCGTATAGCTCCTTTATTCTACACGTATATAAATTCGCGTATATATGTGCAAGTCTGGACTTGACACTGCGCTACAATTATTTCTTTTTCTCTCTCATTATGCGAGAGAGCTTGCGATGTAATCAAATTTGCTCTTTTCCGGTGTTTGTTTATTTATTTTTTTTCGAGCTTCACGCGTGTACGGTTGTCTCACTGTTGCAGTAAACTTTATGGTAAAATTAGAGAGGTGTCCACTTTTAGAGGAGTTGTTCTTTTTAGAAACAAAATGAAATTATTTAATAGTTATTTATTTTGATTTGGCATACAATAATGTTCAATATGTTAAGCGCCTTTTAAAAGACCCACACTCAAAAAGTGTTTCAAAAATTATAAATTAGTTTTCAGCAACTTTGACGACGATAATAACACTTTCAGTCTCCACCACTAGATGGCGAATGCCTATATCTGCAAATCTACAAATGGAAAATTAAAATTAAATGTATAAATGAAAGCCCTATAACTATTTTGCTAAGTACTTGCAATTATTATGGGAGGTACGATAAGTCTTCTCAACGCCATTAAATCGATCATTTTAACTTTTTCCCAAAAATCTTCGCAATCAAAGCGATCACGAGTACAGTAACAACTACGCTTTTAAAAGAAAGCAAAATGCACGAAAGAGAAACAGAAACGAAGTCACTTTTAATCCAAGTATTCAAATGCGCACGCGTTCTTCTTCTCCTTTTTTTTTCTTCTACTCTCCCATTCGAAGTTCACTTTGCTAAGCGATTGTTGCAATGGCCTCGAGTTCCTTTCTCACTCTATATACATAGTCCATGGTTTGTACTCGCTGTGCGCGACACACAAAGAGAGAGAGAGAGAGAGAGAGAGAGGAATGGAATCGCGCGAGAATCAACGAATTCTCCGGCGCCTTTCATTCGCGCCCTCTCTTTACCCACACATACACACGCACACACGTACGTACTCGTTATTCTCTCTCTCTCTCTCACTTTCGATAGAAAGTTCGCAAAGTGCTTTTCAACGCTTTGG